AAGATTCATTGATAAAATAATTTTCTTTAAACTAACAATTTTATTAACATCTAAAAGGGTGGAAGTTCAAAATACGTGCCTTTAGTGTAAGTTACATACGTTAAATATTTTCTGTTTTTTTTTTTCTTATTAATTATTGCTGGTTATTATGACTAGGTGCCTATCGACGATTGTAAAACGAACATGTTATTTACAAATCGGGGCTACATATGAGAGTATATCGTAAAATAATAATTATTTTATTATTTTTCGCTTTTCTAAAGGCAAGTTTAAATGTTCTGTCCGGTATTTATTTATCAGTCAGTCAATATACTGGCAGAGCCAAACTACGTTTAAATGATAACTGACGGGTATAATTGCTAGAACGAGATTTCCAAATGTATCCTGATCGGTACAAAATGCCATTTCAAATAGTCACGACGATTTTCACAGTAATCAATTATTTAGGAACGGTAAAACGAAATGTTTTGGAGATTTTTCTTGATAGGATTATTTTATGACGTTTGACCATCGTGGTGGCTTAATGAGATAAAATTTCTAAACTCCCTTGTTTTACATTCAAAACAAATTTATTTTTGGTACAAACCTATAAAATGTGGTTTTATAGGTTGGTAAACCCCACGTTTTTTGAAGTAAGTTAATTAATATACTAAAACGACATGTAATGAACACTTTTCTGAAAATAGCATCAAAATCGGTTCAACCAATCGTGAGATAATTGCACACATACATACACACAAGTCAAATTGAGGTACTCCATATTTTAAGTCGGTATAGAGCATTACGTATATTCCAAAGCATGTTTTAACTGTGTAAGTAATGGCCAATGTTGTTAAAGTATAAGACAATAATTTTATAACACGACGAGATATAATTTTATTAACACGAGACGAGGGCTGCACTCAGCGGCGCTGGCAATGGACTGGATACTTTTATTCTTTTCAGCTGCGTCTGATATACAACCTTCAACGATAAATGTTAACAGTCTGTTTATTTTCACAATTTTTCTTGCCTTTTCACTTTCCTGCTCTAGATCCTCGTTCTTTACGACATAATTTGCATAAAACAGTGCTGTTCTTTGATATTATACTAAGTATTGTAACTTAGTATAATGTGATGCTAGGATTTGTTTTTAAAAGAAATAAATTGTACTATACATAATTTTGACTGCATTCTGTCCATCGATAGAAATCACACAGTCGAAACTGCTAGTTATCAACATCTGAAAATCTGCTAACAAATAGATTCATGAAAAATTGAAGTGATTAACAACGAAAGATTACGTAGGTTACATATCTGAAATTATCTATGTAATAGCAAGCGTAATGTACTCCAAGATTAAATAGCAAAACCGTAAAAGAATAGGTCCCTATTTCCTTAGTACAAAATAACTATTAAGAAATAATTACAATGTAAACTTCACCCATAGGGGTGAAGTGACCAATGAGATAATTTACATTGCGGAATATAGTATTCTGCAATGTAAATTATCTCATTGGTCACAGTAACATATTTAGTTTTACATTTCACCGTTAATCAGACCACCATTTCCAAAATAGCAAAACTATTTCAATAGATACTACCTATATGACAATAGGCTCACCCTATATTACATGGGACTGTATGACATTAAGTACCGTAATGTGCACCTTTGCTTGGAATAAAAGGCGTGATGTTATTTTATGTATCTCTATAGAGATGGATAGATACCTCTAAATGCTAACACAATCATTGTCAAAACTATCACAACACAGACTCTAAATTTAACACAACTGAACTATGTATCGATCATTCCATTTGCGAAGCTGTTCAGTTGTCAATAGCTGTTCAGCGAAAGATGCTAAGTTTTTTTATACCTACTTAGTGAACGTAAGTGAAAGTAAGTAAGTAGCTAACATGAACGTAGACTTAAGATTGATCGGCAAAAGAACTATGAAAGGATAAAGGAAAACTTGACATCATACTAAAATTATACTGAATAGATTTTAACACTCTTTGCCTTTGACAAGAAAACGTCACTTTTTTCTTTAGCCTTACTCTTGCTAAACAATTTTTCGAAATTGTTTAGGCCTTGCGCAAAATCATATTTGATATTTATATCTGATCCATCTCGTAATTTCACTTACGTAACTATTTGTCCTGTTTCCTAAAGTAGGTACCTACGTGATTAATTAAAATTGATTGAATGGATTCTATTGATGTAATTGGGTCTCGCGAGGGGATTCGGATCGGGTAATGTGTTCTGGGGATTACCTTTTTCTAAAGTTTTCCACATTGCAAGTGAGACGAATTAATGATAGATAATATTTTGATAGGAAAAAGCTGTTGCCCCGACTTCGTCCGCGTAAATTGTGAATTATAGAACATAACTTTTGTTTTGTTTCAATTATCCAAAATAAAAGTAGCCTTAGTGGTCTTTAGTACATCAGCTACCTGCCAACAAAGATATTGCAAAATCTGTTCAGCCATTCCAAAGAATAGCCAGTACAAACAGACAAACAGTCAGAGAAAAATTGAAATTATGGTATGTGTATCGTATATATATATTCATATTATGTAAAAAGCAGTTATTAATATTACAAACAGATACTTCAATATTGTTTATCTGTATAGATTGAGACAAAACATACAAGACGAAGACATTTGTCACCATACACAATCCCTAGTCTTCTAGCTGGTATGGTAAGAGTTTACTAAAAGACAACACTCTCCATACACAACGGACAGCATCATTGTTTTACTAACCTGATCTTTTTAAACTGCGATGTCCAACCGGCTTCTTAAGCGGGAAGATTACGGCAAATCGCTCTTTTGGAAAAGACGTACACATATAGGTACGTCGCGGAGAACCTAACGGGTAACCGGGGCTCCGGCTCGACGTGCAGGAGAAGGAACGGGGTGGTTTTTAGTCAGTAAGAGTCTGACACTCCCTTCCGCCTCACCCAGGCGGGAGCAGTCATTCGATGATTTTCCCCCCTTAAAAAAAAAAAAAAA